CCCGCTGCTCCCCCTGCCACAGTAGCCCGGCGTCTCCCCCTTCTCCATGGTCCTCCCCTGCATCGGCCCGCTCCTCCCCTCCTACCACTGCAGAGTGCCCTCTATTTCCCCCACTGCTGCCATGGGTCCCGCATCAGGACCTGCAGGCAGTGACGATGGAAGGGGGCAGGGGCAGGCTGAGGCCAGCGCCAGTGGCCTCGCCCCCCTCCCCGCGGCATCCTGACCCCGCTTTCCCTTGTGCCGGTGCCGCCATCATCTGCAAAGAGAAAGGGGTGGGGGGCGAGGCCATCTCCGGTGGCCTTGCCCCTCCTCCCCACCCCATCATTGCCACATGGAAGGAGCCAGGCGGGGGTGGGGGGCAAGGCCAGCACAGCTGTGCCATCTGCTCTGTTGCCCCCTCTCTTGGGGGGGGGAGGGAGGGGGAGGCCAGCTGTGCCCTCACCATCATGGTGGCACCCATTGGCTGCCAGCTCCTTATCGAAAGCTTGTTTGCATTCTGATTGGCTGTTTGTCAGCCAATCGGTGTGCAAATAAAACATTACAGGCAGACAGACAGACTTAGGCTTTTATAACATTAGAATGGATCTAGCTTATTAAGATGCCTTAGACATTTCCTTTCCCCAGGGTGTCACGGCAGGGTAGAGGTCAGGGTATTCAGACACTTTAAAAACCATTTCCAGTCTGAAACAGTTTTCGGTTTACACTGATCTTTCCTAGATGTGTAACACTGAGGCTGGGGATGATTCCATGCCCCCACCCTCTAAACGCGCACACATCTTGTCACACACTTTCCCCATTAGTTGCTGCCAGCTTTTCCTACGTCGAACTACCTCTCAGCGTAGTCTGTTTGGGGGAACATCTGTTCACCAGAGCACCCCAAAGGACAACAAGGCCGAACGGTCACAAACTCCTCCATGACCGTTTCAGGCTGGACATAAAGAAGAACTTCTTTACTGTCCGAGCCCCCAAGGTTTGGAATAGACTGTCGCTGGAGGTGGTTCAAGCGCCTACCTTGAACTCCTTGAAGAGACATTTGGACGTTTATCTTGCTGGGATCCTTTGACCCCAGCTGACTTCCTGCCCTTTGGGCGGGGGGCTGGACTCGAAGATCTTCCAAGGTCCCTTCCAGCCCTGGTGTTTATGAAATCTATGAAATCTGTGAAATTGAGGGCCGCAGTCCCAGCATTCCCTTCATCCACCGAAGTAGTTATCTTGTCAAAGAAGTTCAAAGTCCTTTGACATTATTTGTTCTTCATAAATCCATGCTGGTCATGTGTAGGCATCAGGAAATGGAAAAGCTGATCACAGGTGGCCATCCTTAGGATGTCCTCCAGTAACTTGCCAGATATTGAGGGAAGACTAACCAGTCTGTTGTTCCCTGGGGCCTGGTGTCTGCCCCTTTTAAAGAGGGACACTACACTGGTGGAGAGCAGCTCCCACAGCTCCTGGCAGGTCAGTCTGTGAGGGGCATAGGTGACGCAGAGGGGGAGATGGGGGGAGATTGAGGTGACACCACCAGTTCTCACGGAGCCCCCACAATGAGGGAGGGAGGGAGGCAGGGTTGGCAGCTGGGGCTGGGGGCACTGCCCAGCTGGGGGGGTACACAGGACCTGGGGCCAGGGCAGGGA